ACAGACAGACATCCAGAAACCAGTGACTCCAGGGGCTCTTCAGCAAGTGCTTTAATTGATACCAGTAAGCAAGCGTTCCCATTATGAAAAACGGCAACTAGGGCAAAACCATCCACTCAGAGGCACACACCAAATTCAGCTTCCTCTCTTCCCATCAACACCAGCCTGCTGGTTATTTCAGAAACAGGACCTGACCAGAAATGATTACAGTCACGGCAAGTCCAAAGGAGAGAAGAGCAAAACCAAAACCCAAACCGATGCTGTTTATCAACATTCATCTACAAAAAGTGAATTCTTCTACCTACTCTGTACATTACTACTCAATTCAGACTGCTAAATCAGTCAGTATCTTGAGATAGGTAGTCATGGACTATGTCATATACAACCACCAGCAAGAGAGAAAAAACAAACAGAACAAAAGAGAAAAAAAAAAACAAAACACTTAAAATGTGAAGGAGGGGAGCGTTAAGCAATATTTGGACCATTTTACGCAACAGTAATGAAAGCAGGACAGTATGCAGGTAATATTTCAACTGTGCTAAAAGCATGTGCTACAAAAATTTTCTTTCAAGCATATGCCATCTACCTTTCAATAAAGTCTGCTTCACTGTTTATTTTTTTTTTTATTTTCAGTGTTCTTCACACAATGAGGTATTTTAGAGGCATTCATACAGATGCCCTCCAAACCTCTTTTTTGTCAGTATTGTACACATTGCTCTCCTCATACAAAACACAAATTCTGTTACATGTTCTAATGACCTCATCTGATCAGAAAACACACTTTTTTGTTTTACACACCTAAAAAAAATAATCTTTGAGACAAAAGTTTAGGGCTAGATATTTGTACGCATAATTTTTGTTTAGATCTGTAAACTGGAGAATCATAAGAAAATCAGGAGTCCAAACTTCATATTTCAAGGCAGAAACTAACCAGAAGAAAGATTTATTAGGTCATACTTAAGTTAGTCACTCCATGGATACTCTTCTGAAAAGCAGCTGATATTTGCCAGCGTCAAACCAGGATGCTGGATTAACAAACACTGGTTCAAATTCCCTATGTATTCCTACACCACTAAAAAGAGTACCTGGTAATGTTACAGCGAAAGCATAAACCAGACGAGCAGTAACAATAAGCTTTTTTTTAATGCATTCTCCACTTTTGGAGATAAAACACCCAGGAACTATGTACTCCTCTGCTCCTGAGAGCAGCTTTGGTGCCTAATTAGTACTGTAGAACTTACTTGGCTGTCTGTCACAAGTGGGAAGATCAGACAACCAACCAACTCAGCCTTTCCTCCTCCTCCTCTTCATAAAGCTGCCACAGGGCTGGGTAAAAGGCCAAACAAGAGGAACGCTTTCATGCAAAGTCATGAAACTGTGACCGCGGCAAGAACTAGGAAAGTGGGAGGTGGGAGTTAACCAAAGCATCCATGCAAACACCAGGTAAGGTCTGCCATCCTCAAACAGCTCCAGAGTAAACCAGGGGATAATCTCTTTCAGCTCTCATCACCTGAGTCTGCATACTGATATTTCAGATGTCCAACTTTTATGACCAAGAAGCTGAGAGAAGCAACACAACTGTAGCTTTGGCTATCAGTCACCAACTTTTCCCCCCAACAAATACTGTTCATGCAGGGCCTGGTCAGAGACCGCTGCTTCCCATCGTTTTACTTTTTTTTAATAGGAAGTCTATCAATCTATTCGTCTCCTTCACATGTCAGGTGGTTGGTTCTCATGCCTTGGGATTAAATATTGTATTAGAAGCTACATAGCTGTTAAGATAGCTTTTTAGTGTCTTTTATGAGCAGCAGCATGCACCTATTCTTTTGGGAGCTAAGTAGCTCCTACACAGATAAAACACAAAATCCATTTCCATACCCAAATGTCACGACATGCCATGATCACTTCTTTCTTTTCATAACTAGTTTTAGTCATCAATTTTTCAATTTTCCAATTAAATTTTTAATTTTTCAACAGGGACAACTTGAAGAAATATTTTCTTTAGGAAATAGCTCTCTCACCTCCATTACAGCTGTTTCAATGTAATTATCAGCTACTGAGGCACGCTCAAAGTAGCTGATCAATCTTGACTTTTTGATTCCTTATGTAAGCAATCTCTCAAGTAATTAAAAATATTTCATTAAAACTAACTTATAGATACTATTTCCCACAAGTCTGACAGTACATGTACTTCATTCAGAGCACAATAATGTATTTGTAGTCAGAAAATGCAACAAAGCTAGATTTTCACAGCTAAACTGTACAATCTTATCACTAAATCCCATCCTACAACAATCTTCTTGTTTTTAAAGAAAGTTGTATTTGACTGAGAATAACTTTTCCTAATTTATTTATTTTTAAGGTATTTATGGAGTGCAACAACTAGTCCTAAATTTAATTAGAATATGACACCTGGAAATCATCACCCTGAAGAATACAGGATTGCATCACTGGTCTTCTACAGTTTCGTATTCACAGTGGGACTGTTGGTGAACGCCACCGCACTATGGGTTTTCAGCTGCACTACCAAGAAGAGAACAACTATAACTGTATATATGATGAATGTGGCATTACTTGACATAATTTTTATACTTTCCTTGCCTTTTCGGATAATCTACCATGGGAAAGAAACGTGGCCTTTTGGAGATACATTCTGTCGGATTATCAGTGCTTTCACTGTATTTTATCCAGCCATTGCTCTATGGTTGCTCACTTTTATAAGTGTAGACAGATTTATGGCTATTGTCCAGCCCAAACACATTAAAGAACTAAAAAATACAAAAAAAGCTGTGCTGGCTTGCACTGGAATCTGGGTAATGACCCTCGCAACAACGTCCCCACTGCTGTTTTTACGATCTGATCCAGACAAAGCCTCAAATTTCACCACCTGCATGAAAATGCTTGATATCATCCATTTAAAGGAAGTAAATACATTGAACTTCTCTCGCTTGATTTTTTTCTTTTTGATTCCCTTGTTTATCATGATGGGGTGTTACCTAGTCATTATTTACAATTTTATCCGTGGCAAGACTTCCAAACTGAAGCCTAAGGCCAAGGAGAGATCCATAAGAATTATAGTTACTCTGATTGCCCAGGTACTCATCTGCTTTGTACCCTTCCACATTTGCTTCGCCCTCCTGATGTTGCAAGATGAAGATACAACTTACAATCCCTGGGCAGCCTTTACCACCTTTCTCATGAATCTTAGTACATGCTTGGACGTTATACTGTACTACATTGTTTCTAAACAATTTCAGGCAAGAGTCATCAGTGTAATACTTTATCGCAATTACCTTCGAAGTGTGCGCAGGAAAAGTTTTCGAACTGGAAGTGTAAGATCACTCAGTAATATGAACAGTGAAATGATATAAAAAGAAAAAAAAATGTCAGGGGACTTTTATAATGTAAACAAGCGAATCTTTTTCCGAATTCTAGCATTTTGACTACACTGAAGAATGTTCTGTAGCCAGAAACAACAGATATATTTGTTGCACTGTAAATATGAGAGAAGCAGAATAACAATTACACCTCTTTATGTTTGCTCAATAGCTTTTGTAAATTTGAAATGAACTAAAACCTAGCATCAGTGTTAAACTTTCCAACGCTTTCGTCACCTCAAAAGATTGCGACTAGTGCCAGACATGAAAAAGTGACTATTAGTATAATAAAGCAGACAACACTGAAGAATTATGATGCAACGTCTGTATTAATTTTTTATATTTGCACAACCAAATGCTCCTGAAACTACTGCATATGCCACACTTCCAAAATTAGCTTCATTCTCTCAAGATCAACTTGAGAGCATGACTTAAAGAGAAAGCATACGGAGGTAACATACTTCATGCAACTAAAAATTTCTTCGATGCAGATTTCTTTGTAACTGCCAACATTCTCAAGTCATAGATAAAAATACCATCAAAAGGTATAATAGTCAAACTGCTCATTAGTTCCCTGCAGGTATGATATGCACATTTATCACACCCTACTCTTGCACAAAGTATCGTTTTACACAGATAAAAATACTGAATTTGTACAGACACACTAGCAGTCTGTGTCCCAGCAACAAACTTCAAGGTAGCAAACATGATGAGTAAGTGCAGTACTACTCAAGCCTTCAACTCCTCTTGAATACTCACATGCTACAAAAAAATATATCTTTCTAAAGTCAAACACAGGTTTTTCTTCCTTATTAAATAAGCCTTTAGCTAGTTTCAAGAGACACAATAAAAAAGCAGAAATTAAAAAAAAGACTAAGATGGTGTTTAATATTAAAAATCTCGCTCCAAGAGCATTTCTTATTCCCTCAGAGTGTGTGACCCATAGAAACTCAAGTCCCTATGAGGTTGATCTCACCTGTCAGAAGCTTAACGACAAAGGCTCTGCAAGCTCTACAGTTCTACTGTAACATGTACATCCCATTAAGTGCAGAAATCTCAAATATAGGTTATGTGAAACTGAACCACTAAATAGCTTAAAGCTTTAAGAACTTCAGATGCAAGCACTAAAGGGAGTACCATTCTCTAGCACTCAGTTTTTGAAACACAAACACACAAAATACCAGTATGAAACGCATACAACTGCATATGCATTTAAAAGTGAACATAAAGATATGAATTACAGTTGTGCTGTCTGTGATTTAAGAAAGAAATCAGCACCAATCTGATTTCAGTTTTCAGATTCACTGAACTGAACAAAACCAAATATGGCAGTAATTTGTGCACTGCAAGTCGTGTTTCAGTCATGCTGACAGTGGAAATGGGACTAACAGAATGGAAAGTAATCACTATATGGATAAATTGTAAGTTAATTACCCACAGATCACAACTAGGAAATGAATGTTTGAAAATATAATAGTTGTGCCAAGAACTTTTACACTGTAGTTCAAAAGAGGATTAAATTTAATTTGAAGGGTTATACGAAGAAAGTTTTTCTTAAATTAAAATCTGCACAAAATAATCCCTTGAAACTGTATCTAAAATAACCAACCCATTAGGAGCTACTTACAAACCAGAAGGCAAGCTGTTGATGGTGATGCCAAATATATACTGAGCGATTTCCACAAGGAGAAGATCAAACAAAGCTGAGAGCATCCAAGCACCCAGTAAAAAGGACTGGGAAAAAAAATGTTTGATTTGAATTAATTCAACAGTTTAAAAACAAAGTTTTAATGTATCTCTAAATGAAAGAAAAAAAACAAGAAAACCACTATACTGGTTCAATTAAGAAGAATAAAATCTCTAGCACACATCATTCCAGACCTACATGTCTAGATACTAAAGAATGAAGAGTTAGATTTGTTACCAAAATTAAATTCTATGGGTCTGATCACTTTCAACTGATACTACTGCAAACTAATTAGAACTGACTGCAAGATGTTATCAGTATAAATTTAGAATTACGAAACCAAATTCTCTTTTAAAACCCTTTAACATATACTTCTATACAAACTGATAGTAATAAAACTGCACTACTAATCCAAGACTGCAAGATTCTAAACAGCATAGAAAACAGTTTCTCTTAAAAATAAAAAAAATGTAACCAGAACTTACTGAAAATTTTCTGCTGCCATATCTTCTTTCAAATATTCTAAAGTTGTAAATTAGCAGACTGCTGCAGAATGTGTCTTTCAAATCAAGACATATTGCTCTCCCACATACAAGTCTCCAAATCTAGAAAATAAAAGATCGTCATGTTAAGTCTGTCTTCCTTCAAAGAAATTCTTTACAGGATTTGTGCTCAGAGTGAATATAATACCGAAGTCAGGTAACAGAAATGCAGTACATTTAAGGAGGGAAATACAGAGAGTAAAATGTTATGGAGAGTTCAGGAAGTCTGCTTAAAAAGAAAATATTTTCAAGGAAGAGGTCTACCTGTTAAAATAAATCTACAAGTGAAATGAAGTCACTAGTCCACATTTACAAATAAAAATGGAAATCACAACCCTAGTAAATTGTAGAATTACAGGCAAAAAAAATTTTTTTGAAGCAACCTCCAGATACCAGCTAGTCCAGTGAACTGCTCTAAGCAGGTCTAATCAGATCTGTCAAGATCTTTCAGGGCCATGTCAAGTCAAGCCTTGAACACCTCCAAGGACGGAGATTCCACAACCTCTCTGGGCAACCTGTGTCAGTGTTTGGCCACCCCCATGGTTTAAAAAACTGAATCAAATCCTTATATCTAGGTAGAATTTCCCATGTTCCACCTCGCGTCCACACCTCTTGCATTACCTCAGTGTACCTCCAAGCAGAGTCTGGCCTCAGCTTCTCTATAGCTTCTGATCAGCAATAAGGTGTCTCCTCTTTGTCTTCTCTTCCTGAGGCTGGGCAGACCCCATTCTCTCAGCCTCTCCTTGTACGTCACATGCTCCAGCCCTCTGACTGTCTTGATGGACCTGCTCCAGCATGTTCCTATCTTTCTTGTACTGAGGATCCCAGAACTGGTCACTTATAAGAGCACACCTAGAGCACAGCGTCAGCTAGAGGAGTATGGTCACTTGCCTTGACCTACAGGCCACACTCTCACTAATAGTTCAGGAGATGGTTGGCTTTCTTGGCTGCTGAATTCTGTTGCCCACCAAGATCCACATGTCCTTCTCTGCAGAGCTACTTCCCAAGTACTTGCCTCCCCCAGCCTGTACGGTTTCAGCCTGGGGTTATCCCATCCCAGACACAGGACTTTCCAATTCATTAAGTTCCTGTCAGACTATTTCTTGGGCTTGCGAAGGTCTCTCTGAATAGCAGCCCTGCCTTCCAACATATTGACCATTTCCACCAATTTTGGATCATCCACAAACTTGCTTAAAGTGCACTCCATCCCATCATCCAGGTCACTAATGAAGATATTAAATAGTACTGGTCCCAGGACTGATCTCTGAGGGGCCCTCCCCTAATTAATGCCTGAGAAGTGGACTTTGCACTAATGACTATAACTCTGCTGAGCGTCCAGCCAATTTTCCACCCATCTTGTTGTCCAGTTATTCAATACATACCTCACCAGTTTGGCTTCATGGACACAACAGGAGACTGGGTTAAAGGCCCTGCCAAAGTCAAGGTATGCAAAATCCACTGACTCCTCCGTGTCCACAGCACCACTTGCCTTATGGAAGAAAGCAGTTGGTCAGGCATGCTTTCATAGAATCACAGAATGCTTGAGGTAGGAAGGGACCTCTGGAGATCACCTAGTCCAACATCTTCACTTAAAGTCAACTAGAGCAGGATGTTAACTGACCATGTCTGGTCTGGTTTTGACTGTCTCCAAGGATGGAGACTACACAACTTCCCTGGGGAAATTGTTCCTCTGTTCCACCAGCCTTACAGCAAAAAAGTTTTTTCTTTAAATGGAATTTCTTATATTTCAGTTCATGCCCATTGCCTCTTGTCCTTTCACTGGGCCTGGCTCCCTCTTCTTTGCTCCCTCCCATCAGGTATTTACACACACCGGTAAGATCCACCCTAAGCCTTCTCTTCTCCAGGCTGAACAATCCCAGTTCTCTCTCTCAGCCTCTCCTCATACGCCAAATGCTCCAGGCCCTGACCATACTGGTGGGTCTCCACTGGACTCTACAGTATGTCAAGGTCCATCTTGTACTCAGGAGCACAAGGGACAGCAGTCCCAATGAGGTCTCACCGAGGGTGAGTAGAGAGAAGGGATCGGGCCCACCAGGCCTCCTTGCGAGGCTCTTCCTAATGCAGCCCAGGACGCTGTTGGCCTTTTTAGCCACGGTGCTGCGTTACCGGCTCATGTTCGACAGTCTCCCACCAGGATCCTCAGAGCCTTTTCTGTAAAGTTGACTTCCAGTTGGTCAGCCCCCAGCGTGTACAGGTGCGTGGGGTTACTCCTCTTCAGGGGCAGGACTTTGCCTTTGCTGAACTTCATGAGGTTCCTGTTGATCCTTTTCTCCCCTCTGAATGGCAGCAGAACTAACTGGTGTATCAACTACTCATCCAAGTTTTACATCATCCACAGGCTTGTTGAGATCACACTCTGTCTTGCTGTCCAGGTTATGAATGAAGACACTAGACAGTATTGGCCCCCGTATTCATCCCTGGGGTACACCACTAATGACTGGCCTCCAACTGGACTTTGTGCCACTGATCACAACCCTGTGAGCCTGTCAGTTCAGCCAGGTCTCAATCCACTTCGCTGCCCACTTATCTCATCTGTACTTCATCAGTTTGTCTGAGGATGTTATGGGAGACAGTATAAAAAGCTATGCTAAGGTCAAAATAAACAACATCCACTCCTCTCCCCTCACCCACCAAGATAGTCATCTACCTCATCATAGAAGGCTACCAGGTTAGTCAAGATTTCCACTTCGTAAGTCTGTGCTGACTACCCCCAGTCACTTTATTGTTCTTTGTGTGTCTCAAAATGATTTCAAGGAAGACTTGTTTCCTGACCTTCCCAGAGATTCAGATGATGGTGACTGGCCAATCTCCTTTCTTGCCTTTCCTGAAGGCAGGAATGACATCTGCTTTCTTCGAAAAAAAAAAAGCTTCCTTGATTGCAATGACCTTTCAGAGATAATCCAGAGTGGCCTCACAATGACACGAGCCAACTCCTTCAAAACTTGTGGGTGTGTACCATCAGGTCCCATGGACTTACATATGTCCAGCTAATTTAAATGTTCCCTAGCCTGAGTTCCCTTCGCTGAGTTTAAGCCTTCGCTGCTCACTTTTGCACTGATCTCAGCAGCCTGGGACTGCTGAAATCAAGCCTTACTAGTAAAGAACTGAGGCAATGCAAGCACTAGATATCTTGGCCTTTTCCATGTCTTCTGCCTCCAGGTCCCCATTCCCATGCAGCAGCAGGCCCACATTTTCCTTAGCTTTCCTTTTGCTGATATTCCTGTAGAAGCCCGTCTTGTTGCCCTTCACATCCTTTGTCAGACTCAACTCCAGGTGAGCTTTGGCTTTCTTAATCCATCCCTGCATGCTCAGACAGCGTCTCCTTAATCCTCCCAGGTCACCTGATCTGCTTCCACCTCTTCTGTACTTCATTTTTATGTCTGAACTTGGTCACGAGCTCCTTGTTCATCCACGCAGGCCTCCAGACACTTTTGCTTGACTTCCTGCACACTGGATGAGCCATTCTTGAGCTTGGAGGACATGACACTTGAAAACCAACCAGATCTGCTGGCACACTCTTTTTTCAGGAACTGTATCCCATAGGTGTCTTCCAAGCAGACCCCTGCACAGGCCAAAGTCTGCTCTCCTGGGAGAGTCCAGAGTTGCAATCCTGCAATTTGCCTTGTCCCCTCCTCTGAGGGCCCTGAACTTCATTATCTCATGGTCACTGCAACCAAGGCTGCCCTGATCTTCACATGCCCAACCAGTTCTTCTTCCTCCTTGTTTGTAAGTACAAGGTCCAGACACACCACCTCCGCTCATCAACTCTTTGATCATCTCTGTTAGGAAGTTGCTATCAATGCCCTCCAGAAACCTCCTGGACTGCTTGCGCCCTGCTGTGTTGCCCTGCCAGCACATATCAGGATGGTTAAAACCCTCCATGAGGGCCAGGGTCTGAAATCGTGAGGCTTCTTCCAGGTGTCTGAAGAAGGTCTCATCTACTTCTCCATGATCAGGTGGCCTGTAGCAAACACCACCACCAAAGTTGGCTCTGCTGGTCTGCCCTCTAATCCTGACCCATAAACTCTCAACTTCCTCATGTCCGAAAACAAAGCTCTGTGCAGTTCTGCTGCTCTTTCACACAAACAGCAATTCCCCTCCTTGCCTGTCCTTCCTAAAGAGCTTCTATCTGCCTGTTCTAGCACTCCTATCATGTGAGCTAACCCTCCACATCTCCGTGACCCCAAGGAGATCGTAGCCCTGTAATGGCATATGACCTTCAATTCCTCTTATTTGTTCCCTATGTAGTACCCACTACTATAGAGACATTTCAGAGACGCCCAGTCACGCTGATTTCCCAGAAAACATATGGGAGTGTTCCACATAATGCTGTCCCGTAGGCACTTCCTTATTTATGTGCATACACTTCAGGAAGGTCCTTTTCAGTCCTGTTTTGTTGATTACAAGATCCCTTCTGTTCACATCACCCTGTACCCTTTGCAGGCTAACCCAGTTCACTGCCTCCTCACTTGACTGTGGGCTGTTATCTCCCGCCTGTGCTGTTCCTGTCTTAAAGTTCTCCACGCCAGGCTGGCCTGCCTGTTAGCTAAGATGCTTTTGTCCTACTTGGTCAGGTGAATGCCATCTCTTCCAAGTAGTCCTCAGTTCTCAGAGAGGGTCCCATGGGCACTAAACCCAAAACCCTGTTGCCAACACCAGCTGTGCAACCAATTGTCACCCACAGGATCCGCACTTCACCTTGGGTGGCTGCTCCCAGTCACCTTTGTGTCCTGCATATGTTGAGAAATGCCTTCTAAAAAGATTTTGCTCCACGACCTTCCGAGGGACCAAGGTAAGGCTGAGTGGCCTGATGTCACCTGGATCCTCCTTTCTGCCCTTCCTGAAGATGGGTGTGATGTTTGCCTTTCCCCAGTCATTGCGTACCTCCACCAATTGCCATCACCTTTCAAAGATGCTAGAGAAGGGTCTCACAATTACACTTCCAGCTCCTTTGGCACCCTCAGAGGTAACCTGTCTCGTCCCATTAACTTATATGTGCTTAGTTAGGTTAAGTGATTCCTAACTCTCTATTTCTCAACAGTGGATTCTGTTTCACTCTCACCGACTCTGCTAGGAGGCTGAGGGACCTTGGAGGCCTGAAGGCAAAACATACTAATACAAACAAATACACGTATCTGCCTAAATACCTCATCCTTTTGCATATCCCTTGTCACTTGGTCCCTTGCCACAATGAGGACTGGGCCCACACTCTCCTTAAGCCTTTCTTTTGCTGCAGATGTACTTACAGAAACCTTTCTTGCTACCCTTCATCCCTCTGGCTAGTTTCCAGCTCCGCTTTGGCTCTCCCTGCTCCCTTTCCTAAGCCACAGCCTGCCAGGCATTCTCCCCTCCGTGGAAGTCCAAGTGCCAGCGCATTGCCTGAGCCTTATGTTTCTCAGGGTCTTCGGGCCCCAACTGATGCTTCTGCCTCTAACTTCCTCGGCATACCAAAGGATCAAACAAGAAGAAAGAAGCAGGACCTCACCATTCAGGCTGTCCCACGTCAACATTCCCAACGTTAAAACCTAGCCAGTGGCATGAGCACCACCTCTGCTGGAGTCCAAATTGGCAGGGCTGTGACCTTGCAGCTGAACATTTCATGACACACATTAATGGAACAGCCCTCACATTGACTCTGGAAGGCTTTTAAACCTAACTGCTCTTTACTTTAGCCAGCTTAGAAAATACATAGGTGTAATGTAATCAAGATCCTCATTTTACACCCAGCATCTTCACTGCTCTTAAGGGTCCCCTTTATGAAGACAAAGATCTTTTCTTTTTGGACAGTACATATTTTGCCTTTGAAATCAAATCTACCCTTCTGCAACTGCACGCTTTTTTCCCTATGCTCTCTACCAGTTTTAACAAGCGTTAATATCCAAAATCCAAAACGTCTGTTCAGGCCCTGAAAAAAATCCACTCCATTAAACTCATCCCCGCAGATGAACAAATTTTCTTTTAAGTGTTATTATTTGAATATTAGCATCAGACAGGAGTTAAACGATCTGCTCTCCCTGATCTCAGAAGTACACAATTATCTAGTACATAGTTTACTCCAAAGGCTATGACAATTAACTCTATCCCAGCTGAAACCAGGCCAAAAAGAAACAACAACTTCAGCAGAGGAAAAAAACCCAAACCCAGAAATTCCCCAAAGCACCACAATAAAAGTAGCATAGCTTCTACAGATAGTTGCAAACGTTTATGCTTAAGACACAGTAAAGATGGTTTCTTTGAATAAAACACAGCTACTACTGTTTTTCAGCAGATCAAACAAATGGAAAGAGAAGACTCTTCTAAAGACAAATTGCAAAACAAACAAATAAGCAAATAAACCTCAAACCCACAAAATTTCCATTTAAAACTTGAATAGTTTCTCAGACTTTCTCCTCCCCCTCCCCACACACTTGGTTGTAACATTTTTAAAAGGCAGACATTAATTTATGTATTTTTGCTGTACAGCATTAGCAAGACACTTGGAAAATACGAGCAGTGCTCTTGCAGAGTTGTAATCTACATTATTACAATAAAGCTCTTGTTCTTGACAAGAAAGATCACAGACAGTGCAACAGCACAGAGTACCACTAGCTAGGTCTAATAATCTTTTAAGGTTTATAGGCTACAGTTGGCATCCTACATTAAGTTGACTACACACTTTTTTTTGATGTAACTGTAAAACATGTAGGGTAAGATAATTAGAGGCATTTGCTGACGCTTCTTTGTTGACAAGTAGTTTGCCATTTCCAAACATGAAAAAAAAAAGCAAATCCCCACAAAACTTATCTAATCACTTCTAAGTGCGTTATTTCAACAATTACAATTGATACTAGAGGATTCTTAATTAAGCTGAGAACAAAACCTTACAAGATGCAATACCTAAAAGATAACATATCTCAGTCTGAACTGCAAATGAGCCAGAAATGTCTAGTAAGATAATTAACCAATTCAGCAGATTAGTGAGGAGCATGACAAACTCCCCTGTCATGTGGAATCTTCAAATTAGAAGCAGCAGTTCCATTCAACTGGCAAATTTTAGTTTCCCACAACTACAACAGAAGTTACAGAGTGAAAGTTATGGCCTCCGTTGTTAAAATAAATCATATATAATCAGAGCATTCGACCACAATTAGCCCTCCTCAGCCTCAAAAACTAGTCACAGTAAGATATTGACATTCATATCAAAATATTTCTATTATTACACAGGTTAAATCACACTTCATTCATAGCAAGCTTCCAAATGCCAGCAGCTGGAAGGAAAAACGATACAAACCCAATCATTTCCCAGACAAAAGAAAGAAGTGAAAAGCTATGTTGATTGTTTCAGATCAGTTTTTCCCACTTTTTCGCAAAACAGGCGTTACTGGGGTGACATAAAAAAAGGTAAGAACCAGCTGGTCCACAACAGTGAACAAAGGGAAAGCACCAGAGGAGAAACAGACTCGGGGTGGGGGGGAATCACATAGAAGAGCATAGTTTGCAATCTCTTTCCACAGAAAATGAACTGACTCTTACCTGAAAATCCTCTTTTATAGCTTGTAGGTTATATGCAAAGAACTTCTGATAATGTTGGAAGAGCAGAGTCAGTAGAATCGAGATGGCACTTGGGACTAGTAACAGACTCTTTGACAAAGGTGCTTTATCTTAAAGACAAAAAAAAAAAAAAACCAAAAAAAGAAAGAAGCCATTTTAGAGAAAAGTCTCTCACATTTTTTAAAAAGTGACATATTTAAACAGGTGATTGGAAAACATAATAGCAGTGGCACCACCTTGACTTTTTATCTCAACAGCTTCTCAGGTTCTCAACAACTTACAGATAGATAGGAAAAACACACCAACCAAAGGAAGTCTTTAGAGATATTAACGACAGTTAAATATGAATCAGGTATTTTGTTTTCAACATTCTCTCATGAAATTAATTGTTTGGCTGTAATTAAACCTCAGCTTTCTGTACCTATAGAGGTCATGCCCTCCTATGCAGTCCTCCTAAGGCTCGATCATGCTTCAGGAAATAAAACAATCACTTGTTTTTGCTAGCAATACATGCACATCTAGTTAAAACAAATACTTTTGTTTCCTTTGCATTAGGGATTAACTTTTCTCTAGAGGCTATGAAGCAGGAACCACCTGAATAAATGTCCTGAATAAAGTGACTTTCTCTTCACCACACTTGGATCCACGGTGCAAGGAAACATATCAGGTCAATTTACATGACGTTCATCTTCTTCTCCATTCAATCATTACAATTATTAACGAAGAAATTAATAAAATCAGGATGTTTGTGAAATCAGAACTTCTTTCCTCCTAATAGCATGACTTTCAGAAAGGAAACTCAGAAGAAAGCAAGCAGAGAAGAGAGAAATCTGCAATACACCTTTACTCAAAACCGCCAGGCGGAATACCCAGCAGTAGTATACGCAGCAATTCGTCCTAAGCTGCTGGTGTAGTTGACTCAACAAAACACAAACTCTTGCCCAACAATTCAAGCCAATACAGAAACACTGAAATATTCTTTCTTCTACGACTCTTCTCCATTTCACACAGGTAACCTGAATCACATTTACTTCCTTCCCAAACATCCCAGTTACAGCACGCAAACTACTGATTTTCAGACGACTGCTTTTTTGCAGGGTATTATGAAATCCGTAGCCCTGCTGTCATTGTTCTTAGATAACAAAAGGAGCAATAAGACTATTTTAAAAGCACCCATGAGAAGTAAAGAGCAGGTGCACAAGAACAAAATTGCATCCAAAAAGTGTAATACAGGGAACATTTCGTACCTATCCAGATAAACCGACTACCATGGATGATTCCATCAACATCTGCTGCACACTAGAAGCGTGGTAATAGGCACCAAAGCCAAGATTTTATTCACGGCACAATCCCACTGCCATCAAAAATATGGTTCTTACTACATAATTTAAGCATGATCCTCATCCAGGTACTAACTGATGACATCAAGAATAACTTTGATGGGCACTGTTACTTGTTCTCAGCTCACACTATCTTGAAGCCTGCAGTCTTCTGATGTTCACCATGTGAAGAAAATACCTCTTCCTATGTGTATCGTAACATAAACTTGTACTTAAAACTCTTCTTTCAGTCTACAACCATATCTTTGACTTCATTATTTACAGACTGACTTTCCTTACTCCATTTAAACAATTAACGCCTTGAAGAACTAGCCTTTTATAGAAATTAGGCAGTGACTTGGGATTGACACAGGTTGACGTTACTCTGCTAACCATAAGCTCTACTTTTATGATTAGTTTTTTTTGTGCGAGACATATCAGGAGGACAGAAAGTCTGGTTAAATTTTTTTTAATGCAAGAAAACTATCCACCTTTCAATTTAGTATCTTTCTTTGGATTGTCTTCCTCTCCAAAAATAAGGTCTATAGTTTTCAGACGTCCATTTTTTAAATTATTCATTCCTCTGATTTGGTCAAATGCTTCAAAAAAGTTTGAAGCCATCGGAGTACTGTAGAACACTGGGGGGAAAAAAGCTGGAGCTGCCTGAAAGTTACTGTGCGCACAATGTATGCACATATTCACTTGAAACCTCAGGCAATGCTCCCTTAGTCAAATTAACTTAGTAAAATTAGTATTTCTTGATGTGAAAAGCTCAGTTTTATAACAACAGATATTTGAAAGTACAGCCTAAATCAGAACAACCGCAGTAGTCACAATAGTAGACATTTCTGAACCAAAGTTTGATAAAACTTATTATTTTACTGTCAAATACATTGATGTTATTTCATGAGTTTAAATAATTTTTTACAAGAACTCATTAATCCTATAATACTTTTCACATAAGGATCACATGACCACAAAGAATGTGACAAGCGAATCTCTACATTTCCCACCGCGACTATAAATTTCTATATGAGTTTAATATTTATATTTAGATTTTACTGTAATTTTCATATCATTAGATCATTTTTACATTACAGGTAATACACACTTGAAATACTTTACCTTATCAAGTTCATTCCTAATTTGAATGCATTAAAAAATAACCAACCAACAGAACTGTTGGTTCTGCTTTCTCCCAAAGTGTGAACACACATTTTTATTATGAGCCTCCTTTTAGCTTTCAGCTTAGACACTTTAAACCCTGTTATAGAGCAAAAGTACTTATTTTTAAGCATGTCATCAAGCCAAAAACCACAGAAGTAACTAACCCATTAATGTGTCAGTCACCCGCAGTGAACATCACAACAGTAACGGAAACTTCTACTCTCAAGCTTCTCAAAATGTCACCATGGTTGCTAAGTTTATTCTCGTCCAGTAAACTTGAGAAAGATAAACTGTTCCAGATAAATAATTAATCTCCTGAAATGTTTTTTCCAAGTGTTTCACTGTACAATGTAGAAGTTTGCTTTACCCCTCAACAGCATACAGATCCTTATTAAGGACCGCTGTGAAGTCACCAGTGAAGGAGCAATCCTCCCACTGCCATGGACTGTCTCAACCAGTAAGATCAAAAATTATTAACAATTCCAGATACTGCACAATTGGGCATTCTGACATCCAAGAATGTAAAATTCAGAAAGCAAAATTCTAGTCCAATGGATTTGCAACTGCTTGTAGGATGGAAACATGTACCACCAACCCACCGGGATATCGGCGTCTGCTGGCAGCAACCAATGTAAATGTGCACAAGGAAGAGAAAAACACAGTGCCTCTCTCCCACGTACAGAAAGTAGAATGAAACAATAAACTCTCATTTTGACCCTGAAGAGTTGAAATACACCAAATGCTATCTACAAAGACCTTGGAATAAATTTGCAACCCCAAAGTACTCCTTAAGTGGTAATTCTTTCAAACTACAGGCAGTAATAGCATCGGTGCTGCAACACACATAGTGAGCTTCCATCTAAGTGAACAGAGAAATTCTGTGATAACCAGCAGAACGTGCCCATGCTACGATGAAGAGCAAAGAACTAGCTTTCACTGCAGATCTTTGCCTCCCCCTCGTGCAATGGAGAAGTTCTCCCCCAAAACGCCCTCATAATCTCACAGGCAAGTGTCCCAACCTTTATGCTACCGCTGTGCAATGGGAAGCTGATCCTAAAATGCAACATGAATGAGAAAACCACCTCTAAGTCTCCACATTCCACCCCTGCACGCGTTACAAAGCCCACAAATCCTCTTCTTCCACAGCCTACTACTTTTCCAGCTGTCAGTACCACTTTCAAAGTACAGAGAGTTAAGGAAGAGATGTCTCCATCTGTCACAAACAGAGGAGGAGGTTTATGACACAACCGCTCAGGCAGTCGCAGCTTCAGAAGCCACCATTGCACTAATGAGAAGAATATGAAAGTTGTGAGAGTAACAACAGCTGGGTTTTGAAATTATTTCCTGTTCCCTGCCTGTTCACCACTCACAGGTGAAGAGAGAGAGCAGATGAGCATGTCAAAACAGGCAACCAGACCAAACTACTGTTTCAGAAGGGCTTTTCGAGGAACAGCTTCACCCCCTGGACTGCTATTCTGGGCCCGAGACTCAAGTGTTGACTTGGGAGAGGACCTCACTGCCAACACCAGCTGATGACCACTGGCTGCAGAAGCTCAAATTAGCTCAGGACATTTTTTGTGGGGATCCCTACTGAGCTTACACCACAGCTGCAGACCAAACATGCTGTGTAACAGCTTTTTTTACCACTATCATCTGCAAAGTTCCCAAACTCAGCTGCTGCGAGGCAGACACACTGCTTTCCTACAGACAATGAACTGCTGGGGGCTACTATAATGGCACAAAATATGCACAAACCATTTTTTTTAATGCTGATACACACGATCTGTGAGTCTTTTGAACCATAACTGTCGCACATCTGAATGCACAGTACTTCCCAAATGCACTGATGGAATCTGTATTTCAGGTGGTTGTTTTTCCTGCTTTAAGCCGTCGTGCAGATACTCATCTATTGTATTCCAGACCTGTCCAAGAACCTGCAGCAGGTTCACCGACCGACAGTGACATTTCAAAACAGGCAGTTTTTGAGGACTCTATTTCCCCTTCAGATGCAAGTTTGCTACCCATCAAACAGCAGCATGATCACCTCCTCCTGAACGCTTGGGACCCTTGCTTGTCCTTTATTGGAGTGGTTGATGAAATCCACTTTCAGATATGCAAATCTGAATAGTAATTTTTAAGTGTTTCCTACCACACACCAATGTGTGCTTTTGGGAAACTGGAGCAATCTTACTAGATCCGAGGAGTAAAAGGTTGTCTTTATTACAACCACGCACTGAGTCCTGAACAGTAGCTGAGAATAAATGAGCGCACACCATGGAGGGAGGATAATAAGAGATAAGGACACGTGTAATACTGCTTGAGGAATCTGGAAGACACCAGGAGCCTGTGTGCTGACTGGCAGGATGGAATTTAACCATATGATGATTTTTTTTTACAGTTTGTTCAATCCAGTAGAGGTATTTTTCTAATATTTCATCCTTTGAAAAAAACCATGCAATACCAGAGAACCCTGCAAAAGCCGTGAAGTTACCACTTCCTCAAAGTATTACATGACTGAACGAAGAATTCTGCGTCAGAAAAGCAGGTCGTGCCGCCGGTCTAGGCACAGAGCACAGAGACAGGAATGGGATCCTGTGTTCAGACTGACACTTCACAGCGTACTC